TTTTTTCTTTATTTTATTAATAAAATATATTTTAAAAATATTTTTTTCTTGTATCAGCAGAATTAGCCAATGCAGCCACTTCAGCCAGAACTTCATAAATTTCAGCAGAATCAGGCAAAACAGCCCATTTTCGTGCTACCTAACGGGCTCTAAATCAACGAACACTCAGGCTCCTAATAGCTTGCTTAGCTTGTCCAACATCATCCGCTAGCACTCTGTCATAGGAGAGAGATTAGGAGAGAGGAGACACTTCTCAGGTCCTAATTCCATGCAACGGCTTCTGCATGTGGGACTCGATATAAGGAAAAAAAATCTTAATTCTTTTCTTTTATGAGTCGGAAATTTGTAAATGTGCTTATGATGGTTTCTTTTGAATTGGTTTCAATCTCAGATCAGACTAGATGAGACCAAATGAAATCAGATCAGACTTCAATAATGATAAAAGACACAGAGATTAGACATTTATGAGATCAGATCAGACCAGTTCAGATTAGACTTGACCAGACCCGCAAATTTCATTCTAAAAGAAAATATCCTTAGAAGTCCGATACTCCGATTAAAGCTAATCTTCTGTTTTGCATAACAAAATAACGTTTCTTCTATGGAAAAGGAGGGTTTTTAGATTTAGCGTCAACAATTTATGACAATCTAAATTAGCCAGTAACCTTATGTCATTGAGTACGTAATCATCCAAAAAGTACATGTAATTTATAACCTGCCCTCATATAATACGGAGTATAATATTCGGAGTATATCAAGATACTGAGTATAAAACGGAGTAAAACTTAACGTTTATAAAAATTATTCAAAGTAGGAGTAAGCCATAAATAGTTTTTTTTTTACTCCGGGGGTCTAAGGGAGGAGGTTGTGGGGCCTCGAGTAATCAGAGTTGAAATTCTTTCCATTGAGTTTTAAACGTAACCCTTATGTGCCTAGCGAGTTTCGAACTCGAGACCTCCTACTAGGCACGGTAACCTCACAACCAACTGACTTGAATGCTTGGTTAATAGATTTAATTAATTATATTGTAATCCTAAAACTCGATTTAATTATTTCTATTCAAAGAATAATTAAAGTAATAAAATCTTTTCAAAATAGAAGTGAATGAAAATAAAACCAATAAACAAGTTGTACCCTTATAAATAAGACTAAGGGTATGTTTGGCACGACTAGCTGAAAAGATACATTTGTCAGCTTTTTAATTACTGTTAGCTTTTAATGACTGAAAAGATCTTAAAAAGAAAGATGACAGCTGTTTGGTAAAAAAGCGACTGTTTGATTTAGTTCTGTTTGGTATACAAGCTCTTATGACAAATTAATACTAAAAATCACGGTCTTTTCTCAAATGTTACTCCCTGTAGCGTCTCAAAAAAGATCTTTTATTTTTTTTTTAAAAGCACTTAAAATTAGTCATGCCAAACATACAAGTATAAACTTTCTGAGACTTTTGAAACAATACAAAAGTTAGAAGACACAGACATGTGTGCCAAAAATGCACTAAAATATAGACAAGTTGCACACGTAAGACAAAAAAAGGCTCATTATTCTTAATTTGAGGAGTTTAATTTTGATATCCTAAATATCAAAATTATTGAAAATTATACATAATAACACAAATGTTCTTATAATTTGAACACTGTCTCTATGAGAATGTATTAGTTAGGGTGATTATTATAACTACTTTCTAAAATGTCATTGTCTACCATGTGTTAAAAAGACTTAAACGGGATGAACAAAGAAGGCAGTTTCTTGAGATTAGCCACGAAAGAGCAAATTATTAAAGGAAAATAGTAATTAATAATGTTGTTATTAATTAAACTCGTAATGTGTACAGTAACTAAGGAGGATTCGACGAAAGCAAGAAATAAATAAATGAAGTGTGATATTGCGATCAGACAATGGAAATTAAACGCCACCAACTAAATCTACTTCGATAATCAATCAATATAAATAAATAAAATAAAATAAAAAACAAAACAAAAAACTAAATCTACTTCGAATATAATGCCGCAGATCGAGGTTGTACGGGACTAACTCTTTAATTTGTTTCGATCATAATCTATCCCTGCCCTTTTCTGATTCAATAACATTATATTCTCATTCCTACAAACTAACCTAAACAAACATCATTAAATTAAACTTTTTAAATTAAATTTTCTGCATATATGGAATTAAGTGCCTCTGATCACAATTAATTAAGGTAGATATAAAACCTTAAGGCCTGTTTACAATTCCAGTTTTTCAGAAAACTAGAAAACTAGAAAATAAAAAACAGAAAACGTGTTTACCAAAATAAATTCTGAAAAACTGGAAAAAGGAAAACAGAAAACACGTTTACCAAATCGTTTTCCAAATCAGAAAAATGAGATATGTCTCAATTTTCCTTAATGAATTGGAGAAGTGACTTTTATTAGTTTTCCAAATTTGGAAAACGCGGATGCTACAGTGCCGCTGCAATGAGTTTGCATACTTACGCCTAGTGTTGGATCTGGTCCCACTCGGTGTCAATTCGAGTCTGATCCTGTCAAAGACCCGACGGTCCCTATCTGGTCCGGTAAACAACCCGGTGGTCCGGTCTAGTCATTGACCCAGCGGTTAATGTCCGGTCCGGTCGACGATCGAGCAACCCCGGTCCAGTCCGATCGATTACCCGACGGTGCCCGTCTGGTATTGGTATCGGTCCGATCGACGAACCGGCGGTCCCTATCTAGTCCGGTCAATGGCTCAACGGTTCAGTCTCGATTTTTCGAAATCATTTTCTAAAGTGAAGAGTTTTAAAAGAGCCATTGAGTTGTCAACCAATAGGGAAATGAGAAAAGAATTCATCAAACCAACTATTGAGATCGATCGAGATCGACCGGTTTCGGTCACAACTTTCCTATATGTGGGACCCAGTAAGTACCCTACTTGGGTTGTACTAGGTTTGGTTCCGGATTGGGATCATACTTTCCGTCTTTTGTCAGTCACAGAATCAGGTGAAAAAATTGTGTGAACATGTTTTCAGATTTGAAATTGGAAAACTAAAAAATGAAAACAAAAAATTGGAGATAGAAAAACTGGAAAATGAAAACAGAAAATTGAAGAACGAAAAACAGAAACAGAAAACTGGAAAATATTTTTATTAGTAAACATGCCCTTATCTTCCATTTATATATAGGACAGAACTAGGTTTTTTACTGCCAATATGTCAAATGTTCGATTTCTATATTCTTTAATTTTGGTCCGTTGTTACTCAAAAAAGGAGGATTGTCCATTAAGAGGTGATTCCTATCAACCGATAACCATTGGGTAGCAATTCCTACTTGTTATATGGGTACATTTTATATTGATATAGCTAGACAGATATAATACTAACACTTTTTTAAAAAAGACATCGTTTCAAATTTGAACAAAAACGAGACTAATTGTAAATGAATGGACGGCTCAAAACCCTAATTCTCAAATGTGCTCGTTTCCTTCTGACTTGGAGCTACCGCCATCACGTAGATGGATGCGGTTTAATGCACCAAATCCTATGTGATATGGAAATTCGGCTGTGATTTAAAAAATGTATCAAATCCTCTTGTGTTTTAATTAATTATGCGCAAAATCCCTTCTATTAACTAATTCAATTGTCAAATAAAAGAAAAATGATTAACATTTTTCTATTATTTAGAGATTTTGACATATTTACTTGCATATTCGATCAGAATATTAGGAAAAGTGATTTCAAAATCATTAAATTTATTTATAAAAGGGGTTCTGTGCATGATTAATTAAAACACAAGGGGGTTTGATGCATTTTTCAAATCACAGGGGGCTAATGCGCTGAATTTCTATATCACGAGGGGGTTTGGTGCAATAAATCCATGGATGTTGTGTCCTTCGTTGCGTCCAACATCGAATCAGGTAGGATCGAGTCCGGTTGGATAACTGTAATTGATTGTGTCAGGTAACTGTAACTAGACTGGTCTAATCAGGTAATTATAAATGGTTGGACCTAATAACTGAACCAAGAGAGGGTATAAAGTCACATATGTCTTTTTTGAAAATATTTAAAATTAGTTTCATTTCTGTCCATAATTTGGTAATATTTATTTGGTAATAATCAATGATCTCAAGGTTGTCATTCAGAGCACATTTAATTTATTTCTGAACAATACATCGTCTCTCCTTTCGTTCCAAAATTAAAGGTGGGCCAAATTGATTTTCTTTTAGACACATTCCACCAATGATATTTTTTAATAAAAAATTATTTTGAATATGAAAATGTTATAAACTATAAATTATTTTATAAAAGTGTAAATTTATGTAGATATAATAATCATAATTATTTTCCATACTGTATCATTAATGATTAAGAAAGTTAATATGGCAAACTTTTTCAAGTAATTATATGAGCGACCATATATATCAGTGTTTTTGTAAAGGTGCTATTAGATTATTAGTACAAATCACACTTTTTAGTTGAAATGGTACTCCTAAGTCCTAATTAACGGTACTCAATCAAACGTAGATTATAATAATAATATACGGAGTAACAATGTACTCCGTAATATACTAATATCATAATGGAAAGTGTTTAAGATTATATAATTAATCGTTATTGACTTAAAATATTACCATCCAAGAGTATTATAGTAATAAACATCGATTAATGGGATAACTACTGTAAAGAAGAGAAAAGAAGCTTCTTGAGAAGCGAAGCATGTGTGAAGTTAACTGGAGGTAATTAAGATAATCTGATTAGATTACTCAATAATTATGAAATGATTACTTGACCTAGATAAAATAGAGGGTTGTAAAAAAAGAAAATTATATATTCATTATTACTCCGGTATTAAATAAGCGATAATGAATACATAATAATTACTCCCTTTACAACTGAATGTCGGTAAGAAGTCCCTTTCAGAAGGGCAGTACAAGTCAAAAAGCTTCTAGCGACAATCTCGCCCTGTGATCTACATATATACCAACAACCCATTTCTCTCAATCCAGTTAAGGTCTTCCTTTGACCCCCCAAAAAATTAAGGTCTTCCTTCTATTCCTTTCAATCTCATCTCATCTCCCATCAACCTAGCTTCTAATTGAACCAAAACAACAGTATGGAAGCATCTTCCTTTTCCCCTATGGCGGCAGATTACCACCACGAATCTTCCTCCGGCGGCCCGCTCCTCGTGCCGTCGAACAAAGAAAGGAGGAGGCACGGCAATGGCGGCGGCAGCGGTGCGAAAAAATCATCCGGCAGCGGCGGAAGTGGCACATCCCGGGCCGCGTCCAAGCTTTCTACAGATCGTCAGAGCGTCGCGGCCCGAGAGCGGCGCCACCGGATCAGCGATCGCTTCAAGATCCTCCAGAGCTTGGTCCCCGGCGGGACGAAGATGGACACCGTCTCCATGTTGGAAGGAGCCATCCACTATGTCAACTTTCTCAAAGCGCAAATATGGCTCCATGAAGCCATGATAAACTCCGTCACCGTCACCACCACCGATCAGAGTAACAGTAATAGTAACAGTAACAGCAGCATTACGTCTTCCAACAACGACAACAATAACAATACCGGGTTTTTTAACGGAGCTGCTACTACTAACCATGAGTACTATCACCATCACCATCATCTTAGCAACAATGGGGACTATCCTCCCCCTCCTCATTTTATGATGGGAGACGGCGGAGTTCTTCCCACGGTGGATGATGAGTGGCAGTTGCAGGCGAACTCCGGTGCAGTAGCTCCGCCGCCCTATACGACACCGTTACAACGGGTGTTTGTGGAGGGCGGAGCAGATGGAGCTCAGTTTCAAGAGGCTGTGGACACTATGATGTTCTATGATGATGATCAATATATGTACAACTACCCTTAGAATTCAAGAGGTAGTTATTCTTCACTAGTCTTTGTTTGGTCTCTGTAGGAATTACACAGTTTACATAATCAATTAATTAAATTAGCTAGAATGGAATCATGAAATCTGATATGGGGTTTTAATTTATTTAAATTATTGGTATGATTTTATGATGATGATGATGATATCGGATGTGAAAGTCCTCAATTTCTTCTACAGTTTTATTCCTAGTTTTATTAATTATCAAAAGCTTTGCATGGAGTCTGACAATCTATATATGACTATCTGCACAAAAGCACAAATATATAGTCACAGTTCACTTCAATTAATTTCTACATGATTGATTATGGCATTCAGATAAGAGACAATGCACTAAATTAAAGTCCATTGATACAACCATACATGCAGATTGATGAGCAAATTAAAACAGATATATATCCTCCCTATCCCATTAATTACAACATTAGAATATATACAATATTCATATACTTTACTTTGGCTACATTTTATTTATTGATGTATGTGAATTATTGTTTATAAAAATATTATTAAATTCGTCTTATTACTAAGTTTTATAATCTAATTTTTATTTTATTTTTACTAACACGTACATAATTAAATAAAAAGATGATCAAAGTTGTGTATTAGCAAACGTGAAATATTGACTGTTGCAATTATAAAGAGACGGAGGAATATATTTATTCGATCACTATATCTAAATCTCAAATCCTATCATTAAATTTGCTGTTTTTGGGCTTACTATACTGGAGTTGATTGAATTCTTACTTCCGAGTTTCAACTTAATGGGCTCGATCTCATATTACATTTTAAAGAAGTTATTTCATGACTTATACACTCCGTAAATCTGAAATTGGGATTTTATTTTTAACATAACTATACCTTAATCAACTTGATGATAAACTTTGGACAATAAATTTAATTATTATATTTGTATATAATTTATAAATTTTATACTTTTATGAAAATATTTTGAATAAGGAACATTTTGATATATTTTTAATATTAAATACTCCCTCCGTCCCGCAATGAACTTCCCACTTTCCTTATTTGAATGTCCCAAAAACAAGTTCTCATTTCCTTAAATGGAGAGTTAATCTACATCAAAACAGTGTCAAACAGTGCAAAATAGTGCCAAACAGTGTCGAAACAGTGTCAAAACAGTAAAATTTACCCCATGGTAAGTTTATTTTCTTAATATGTGTGTAGGTCAAACTGTGAAATTCATTGTGGGACAGAGGGAGTATAATTTTGTATTAAAAAATACTCCATCATTAGTCAAAGTTGATTGTCGTTGACCAAGTCAATTTGGCTAATCTTTTCGAAACGGAGGGAGTATATGTTAAGATCATACTCATTATATTAACCGCATATTTATACATATAAAATGCATTTAGCTAGTTTAGCTAGCTTTACATTCAAGTAGTGAAAATACATAGTTATATACTCCGTATAAAAATGAAAGAAACTTCATCTTGTACATTGATATTGTGAATTCAAAGGAGTGATCGAAAGGACTATACAGAACGATTGGTTATCGAAAACGAGCTAGGAAACAGTTTATTACATTATTACTATCTCCGTAACATAAAATATTCCCATTTTGACTTTTCACGGTCTTCTAAGTTGAACTTTGACTCTAAATATCTACATATCTATATTTATAAAATTCATAATAAATTAACATTCAAATAATATGTTTTACAATGACATATATGAAATAAATTTTTAATCATAACATAATGTGAATTTTGAATAATTAATGGTCAAAGTTTATAAAGTTTGCCCCAAAAAATTCAAACTGGGAAGATTCTAAGGCTACGGAGGTAGTATATATTTATACTCCGTACATTATACATAGTATATAGCTTTGTGGTTAATAAAATTTACTACAATGTCGGTTCAAAAAAAAAATACTACAATCTATGCATGACTTAGGTAATTAAAGTATTAAACGTAATCTCATTTCATAGGGAGAATTTCTTACACAAATATGTGCAGTGTGTGTGAATTGAATATATATAATTCTTTTATGTTTGAGTACGTAGTGCATTTTTGGGATGAAGCCATTGAGTAATCAGAACTGAAACTCACTTCATTGAATTTTAAACTCTTATGTGCCTAACAGATTTCGAACTCGAAACCTCCCACTAGGCATGATAACCTCACGTTGAATTCCATCAGTTTTTCAGCCTATTAGTCTTTTTAGAATTCATAAGTTGTGAATCTAATACACATTAATTTGTTTGATCTATTATAAGATCTGAGTGAATCTCTTCTAAATACACATACATAGTGCATTCGTTCTAAAAACAAAATTAATACTCCGTACAACATATTTAATTTGATTTTGATATGATATGGCAAATATGAATGCTCTTAATTGGATTGAAAATTTCTATGTACTCTTGTCGTATTTGGTTTTGTTTGCTTAAGTCTGGTATGATCTGTTCTAAACTAGTCTTGTCTGGTTTGGAAAATATATGATCTTTGTATATTTTATACTCCCTCCGTCCCATATTTAACTCCGATTTTGGCTGGACACATGTTTTAAGATAGTAAAATTTGTGTGGTGGAGAGTTATGCATAGGAGAGAGAAATGTGTAAGAAGGATTGTGAACCACATATTCTTTACCAAAAAGGGAAAAAAGAGATAAATTTGGGACGGACCGAAAAGGAAAGTATGAATATAATTCCGGGACGGAGGGAGTAATTGTCAAAATATGATCTGGTCTGATGTAGTCTGTTTAGGTATGGTCTATTTTGATCTGGTCTGTGACGCACTGAAAAGAGTTTGAAAAACATCTTATATCTACCAGATTTCCATGTTATGTTGTTGAGAATTTAAGCACAATATAAAATTCACATCCTTTTGATCCAATAAAGAATAATGTCTGGCGAAAGCATCAATTTACTCCATATATTATGTCCATGATTGTTTCATTCAGTTTTGACAAATTGACATTATTTATATCTCATTTTCTCCGATGGGTTTGGACGAATTTACAACTACTGCATATATACAAGAGGAAAAAACGGTTGACTAACAGTTGGTTTTTTATTAGATTTTCTTTGAAATGTTTGGTTTTTTAATCTATTATAATGGATATATGGAAAGGGTGAATAACTGAAGCTTTGGTGGATCTATTTAAAAACCATACATGTGGCTCCAACTGGAGTAAAAACTGAAATCTAAGAGACATATTTCAAACAAAGGAATACATTTCAACCCTGGTATTCAAAACTTTGACCATAATATATATGAGAGTTCATGTGTATAGTAGGAAAAGAAGCATTCACAATATGAGGGCAATACAAAGATATTTGGTGTAGGAATCATTTTTGGGCTAATTTATTTATTGCAATAAAAAAAGTGAGCCAGTCTATTAACAAAAACAGTTCTCTAACTTTCTATTTTTGTTTTATATTTTTTGATTTCTATTTCCATTTCCTGATTTCTCTTTTTCAATTTTCTGTTTTACATTTCAATTTTATGTTTTATTATTATTTGAATTCTTGTTTTTCCATTCAATTTCCATATAAATAAAACAAAATGTTGATCCTAAATAACCCAGGATGAGAGTGTATTCGTATTTAGATGAAAATCATAATATACAAAATATTTTCTACTTCTATTTATGTTAACTTTTATTTGAGAAGCTTTTTTCTAATTTAAAAAACTCAAAAAGAAGTTTCTAGTTTTTTTGAAAAGGTATATATAAATTGGAAAAGTGTTTTCTTGTTTTTCTATAATTGAAAAATTAGTCAAGTAAACATATTTTTTGTTTTCTGTTTTTTTAAATTAGGAAAACAACATTAGTATTCATATTTCTAGTTTTACATTTTATGTTTTCCAGAAAAATAAAACTTTTAGGTAGTATTAAACATCATCATCAAGTACTTCGTAATTGGATGACGAAGACATCATGTGACACTCATATGGAAGAGATCATAGATTCAAATCTCATCCTAGTTCAAATATGTTGACCAGGTCATGGAACACAAATATTACAGTACGTCATAAGTTAGAGAGCACAGTATAAAATACAAACATCACCGCACGTACCGGATTTTGGTCCTTTCCGACATAATATGGTAGCCTGGAAACCAATCAGGGGCGTAATTAGGGAGGCGTCAACCCTAGCCTTAGCTAAGTCCAAATTTTAAAAATGTCTATATTTTTAGATAAAAATTTCGTGTAATTTCCCCCCCAAAAATATTCGTTGTACCTGCCCAGTCTGACCTAGTGTCGTGACCAGGGGCGGATCTAGTAAGCCCATAGGGGGGGGGGGGGGGGCAGCTGCCCCCAACAAATTAAGTTCCACTAATCCTTTTAGTTTGTTAATAAATTTTAGAAGCTCAATTATTTGCCCCCAATACAAAAAATGGATTGCCCCCTATACCTAAAGAGCCTTCTCCCGTGAATGAAAAAATTTACTTGGAGTCGGTGTCACAATATTTCAAGCCAGCAAATAAGCAACTGGTCAAGACAATGGCTCAGCAAGACTCCATCTCTCTATGTTAGAATTAATAAATCAATTAAATGTTAGATTTGAAGTTTTGCAGTATTTGTTGCCTAGTTTAGTTGTTTAATCCTCTATATGTATTCATTGTATTGTTTACTTGTTTAAGGTCATACATTAATTTTTAATTCTTATATAAATATTAAATAAATTTATTAAACTTATTATAATACTGTTAATTTATTATGAGATTATTTATTTTCATCAATTAGGTAATTTTTTAGAAGAATCAATTAGATTTATTTTAATTGATGAGTTACTAGTATTGTTATACATCTATTACTCTATTAGTGTAATGCTTTACACTATTAGAAAATAGAAAATGTAATTTAATAAGTTAGAAATCCTAAATGCAAATAATATGTTACTTTGGGTAATTAAATAAAGTGTATTTATGTATTCAAAAAAGTTATATTCCTTGTGTCTCATAAAATTCTCATCACTTATCATTTTGGGATGTCACAAAAAATTCTTTCAATTTCTATTTTCGAAAAATTTTGTGTGATTAACATTCACATTTACCTTTTTCTTACTCAACCACAATCATACATTTCCACTTTAATCTCATTTTTTTAAATTCCGATTCAAGCCAAACCGGGAAGCATTTTATAGGACAAAGGGAGTATTTAATTTCACTACTTTTCCAGACTCAACGGTGAGGTATTGGGCTATCATTCCTTCACCAATAGTGAATCCTGGATAATCGAAATTTTATTGTTTCAAATACAGCTTCTCAATGTTTTCCCAAATTAGTGAAGAACCATTTGCGTAATAGAATTGGTGATAGTTTTTGAGTTATTGTCTAATTTGTTGTATTGTAAAAGATGTGTTTAAAATTATTATAAATGAAATTCTAATGAACCCCTTCCAAAAGATGAAAGCTCAGTTCGAACAATTGTACTGATGTATTGTGTTAAAACTTTTGTTATGGTAACATTACATTAATATTTTATTAATTATTTTCAAACACCATGCCGTTGATTTTTTTGATTGATATATATGATTATTTAGAAATTAGAATGCATTATCTAATGGTACCGAACTACTTGTGGTGAAGTCTTCTTAGTTCGGATCCGGCCAAAGTAAGAATCTGATATTCCACATCAAAACATGGTGAATATATAATTGGGTTTAAGGTACAATCAAGTGCTGCATTATGTTTTCATGCAGTATTGAATTGGCAGTATTGGTGCCAATCAAAAACAAGTTAAACATTTGGCATCAGATTAACTGGATACAACCATACAAGATTGGGAATGGTTAGTATCAATCAAAAACACATGGAAGGTACATTGTTCAAATACAAAAAAGTCTAAATTTAAGAATTTTGATGTGAAGATTATCATTAGATTAGGGATATGTTTGGCATACCTTTTCAGCTCAAAAAGGGCCGGAATTCTTTAATTTCAGTCTACTTTAGTTTATATAGCCTCGTTTGTTTGAAAGGCTAAAACGGGCTTGAGCTGGAATATATGAACTAAAGTGAAATGCTAGGGGAAGTAACATTTCAGTTCAGTTTTTTGTTCGCAAGCTTTCTATTCACATCCTAACCCTCACTCCTCTCTCTCTCTCGCTCATTCACTCCTCTCTCCAGTTGATTGCTCGTTCACAGTTCACTCTCATTTCATCGTCACCCTCTTCCCATTCCTCCCTGTCATATACAACGCCCTGGTTCGCTTTGTTTTTTGGCGCACGATGCGTGGAAGTGCTTCCTATAAAGGAACGATTTTTACTCCAACAGTTCAACCTACTAGCAGAGAGGCCAATTCTTCAAGTATTGAATGACCAACCTACTGTTAATTGATCGCTTTATCATACTCCGTATAATTTCTTGTTTGGTCTATCATTTACTGTTTTGCCATTGTTAACCCAAAAATACTCCGTATAAATGTATATTACTCCGTATGAAGTATTTTACAATTTCGGTATATATGAAATTATTATAATATACTACGTAAATATTTTCGTTTAATATATGTGTGTGTCCTTTGATGTAATTTTATATTTCCCCGTCACTTTTTCAGCTCTTCTGCCAAACATTTTTACTCCATTCAGCTATTAGTTCAGATTCAGCACATCATAATTTAGTTTCAGACATTAGTTTTTCATTCAGACAATAGCTCCTAATTCAGACATTAGTCATTAACCCCAGCTCATTGTGCCAAACATAGCCTAGAAATAAAAGATTTCACCTTAAACATATAATCACTCTTTATTGAACAAGAGATTCTAAGCATCGATTAATCATAAGTGATGGAGTTATGGAACTAGACTGAGAGCCTAATCGGCTCAAGTCCCGAACTTGGACCCGTGAGTCGAAGCCCAAGCCTGGAGCATGCCTACCAGCCTAAGCCCCGACAGAGAATTTAGTGACAGAATTTAGCGCGGGATACTAATCCGACAGTAGATGCAGATGGAATTTAGAGAGTGATTTGTGTCCGCCTGTATTTTGTGGCGACATTATTCCACCAATATTTGTTGGAAATTCTGTGAGTAAAGCACAAAATACAGTTAGAAATTAATTATCCCTACCATGTTAAAGTTATAAAATACAGTATTTGAGCATTTCATCTCTTGAAACACTCATTTACTTTAATTGATTGGTTAAAAACCCGTCGTAGAACACAATAAGTTATCATAACATTGAACAACCATTTCATGAAGGAAACGACAAATGACACCGGGAGTGGCTCCGACGATTAGTTCAGTATTTACAGTTTAAACTATTCTCAATTGTAATTTATAAATGTGCAATACTCCAAGTCAATGTAGTTTTTGAAAGAAATGTTCATTTCATTTTTTATTGTGTAAAACTTTCATTTTTATTAAAAAAATAAAATAAGGCCCGAACCGGCACGGGACTGGTCGGGTACCCGGTCCGGGACCGCGTCCCATATATTTCCGGCTCAATTCCGGTTTTCATAATTGGGAACCGAAACCAACCAGTCCGAGACCGGACCAGGTCCATCCCTACTAAATTTCATGTAATAACTAATAAGTATCTCCTGTTTTATTAAGCGTAGGATATATAATAAATATATACTCCCTCCGTCCCCTTTTAAATGTCTCATTTTACCATATTGGGATGTCCCTATTTAATTGTCCCATACCTTATTTGGTAAAATTTGTGTGGCTCAAAATCATTCTTACTTTATTCTTACTTAATTCTTACTTTATCTATTAATATCAACCACACAAACCTACTTTTCTTAAAACTCGTGTCACCCTCTTTCGGGACATTTAAAAGGGGACGGAGGGAGTAACTATTATTATATACTTTATCCTTCGATGACTCCCCTATTTTTAATACCATTGTCATTTCTTTTCAGTTCATTATTTATTTTTGTCACTTATGATGAAGAGAATTCAAAAAAGTACTACATCACACTATTTGTCCTTATAAAATGTGAGTTGAATTACTTGAATACAAATGGATTTATTATTTATACAATGGGAATTGGGACGGAGCATCATAAAACAATGGGAATTCCAATCCAGCCACGACCAATATTAGATTAGAATTATCATCCATTATTCCATTCGACATTATATGGCATTAATTAAATTAGTCAAATCCAGCCAACTCCATCTCTATATACTTTATATTAGGCATGGATTCGGGTCGGGCCTAGGCCTGGGCCGGGCCTAGGCCCGGTCGTGCCGCCGGTTTGTAACTCATTGACACGGGACCGCCCCGAGGTTTGGACGGGCCCGGTTCGGGCCGGGCCACCCGCCCGGGTCACGAGTTCAGGCCACCTGCCGGGCCGGGCCGGTTAAAACCAATTTTTTTTATAATTTATACTTTATAGTTTTATACAAGTATTAAAAACAAACTTCAAGTGCATTTATTTGAAATGAAATAGGAACTGCATTTGAAAATTAAGAGAAACATACAATATGAAATACATTTTGTAAATTGTAATCAATCAGAACTTCCCGCACCTCCCGATCCTTTGGCTTTGTCACATGACTTAATATGCTTCCCCGTTCCGCCGCCTAATTTTGCATACTTCACCGGGTGTTTGGACTTAAGATGTCTTGTGGCGGATCCGTATCCGCCGGAAATCCCCAAGCTATAGTTTTTCTTGCACCAATAGCAAGTTGCGGTCCAATTCCCGGTGTTCGGGTTCTTCCACTTAGAAAAATTATTAGTCATTAGTTCAGATTTACTTTTTTTCGTACCAGTTTGGGATGACGGGTCGGGTCACGGGCCGGGTGGCCCGAACCGAATCCATCCCTACTTTATATGACTTATTACTTATTCATGAACAAATGAAAAGTGAACCTGAAGTATAAGGCCCTGTTTGGTTGGAGGGTTTCGGAAGGGAGAAGAAGAAAGTGGGGGATTTGTGTGTATTTGGTTGAAGGAAATAGGAGGAATGGGAGGAAAATTGAAGGCTTTCAAACTCCTCCACTTCCTACCCTTCTAAGGCCCTGTTTGGACATTGGTGGTAAGGCCAAAATGTCATTTGTTCTACGATGGGAAACGCTTGTTTTTGAAACGTTTTGGAGCCAAAACGCCAAAAAACAAACTTACCCTAAATCCCCCAAATCGGGGTATTTCGGAGGAAACAGGTTGATAAACACAAAATATACATCTCCTACATGAATGTACAAAACGTTATAATATAAAAAGGTAAAAAACAAAAAGTTTTGAAAAATTTAAAAATTTAGAGATTATTAAATTTAAAAATTTAAAAATTTAAAATTATAAAAATTAAAAAATTTAAAAATTAAAAATTAAAAATTTTAAAAATTAAAAATAAAAAATTTAAAATATAAAAATAAAAAATTAAAAATTCCAAACTGAAAAATGAAAATTATAAAATTAAAAAAGTAAAAAAACAAATATAATAAAATTATTACTCATGACCATAGGAGTAATATTCACAATAGTTAGACATGTATCTATTTTTATAGGTAAGCTATCAAATAAAAGTAATTGCGAAAATATTTTTATTAAACCATTCCTTCTATTTCCTCCAACCAAACACAAAGTTTTATCAAAATCCTTCCTTCCCCTTCCCTTCCCTCCTTGATTCTCCCCTTCTCTCCCCTCCTTTGAACCAAACAAGGCCTAAGAGAACCATAATCTATATCAGAAATATATTTTATGTCCATACATAAATTTTTTAAATATTGTAGATTCAAAAAGATGACAACAGTGTAACATCTATGCTTATCAGTAAATTTTAGTGTCCAAATACACTAAAATGCTCATCAATAAAACGGTGTTCGGTCTTGAATTAAATTTTCTTCATAGCCTAATATGGAAAATGAAATGCAATGAACGTCGAAATACACTATCATGCTTTGATTTTTTTGTAATGCTTTATCTCCTTGATTACACCATCAGCAAGGGTGTCAACATCATTGTTCTTCCCAAAGAACTTCACAAACTCCATCTTAGGATCCATGAGATACCTGCTCATAGTTCAAAAAACATTACACCGAGTATACAAAACAGCACGAATATGTTTTCAAGTATCGAGCTATGGGGGCCTGGGGGGAGATACCCATAACAATAATACCAAGTCCACGATGTAAAGTAATAAACATACATGACTATTGAATGATCAACAAGATAATCTGAGCCTTCCTCCTCTGTCTTCATGTAGTAAACTCGATAAGCACGTGCAGCTTTTTTTATCTCCTCAGGAGTACCAGTAAGCCCTATTAAACTAGGATGGAATTCTGGAAGAGGACATTTTAAGAAATATGAATAAAAGTACTATAAACTATTTCAATAAAAAGGCATAACAAACAACAATAACCCCATTTGAGAAATCACCTTTGATATATTCGTGTACTTGCTCAACTGTATCCCTCTCAGGGTCAACAGAGATAAAAACTGGGACTACATTAAGTCCTGCCTTTTCTTCTGTAAGATTTTGAAATAATAATAATAATAAAAAATCAATTTAAAATATAATCATCAGCCCATAGTAGAACATCTTAAAATCATTAGTAATTAAGTACTCCATACCAATTTGGAAAAGAACTCGAGCAAACGGTAAACTAATAAGTAGTATATACAATCTCCATAAATGCTAAAACAATAAAAGGGGGGATTAGGCCTTGCATCACACTTTTTAATCCTCATTTGAATTAGTACCCCATTTTCAAAATCTTTCGTACTTGCACCCTGAAGCTCATCAAAATCTGTTAAAATGGGGTGTATACTCCAATTTGGAAGAAAATGATGGGTGTAAATTTAAATTTCTAGGAGCAAACTCAAATTTTCATGAAAAAGTGGGTGCAAACTTCAATCTTCCCAAAGAACGCTTTCCAGTTTTCTATTAGAAGAGCTTAAAACATTTACAAGGTGTGGACTTATGGGCCACCGTTAAAGATGGATAATTAAAAACATACACTGAAAGAGAAAAGAGAACAGATGCTATAATAATCATGTCTTAGGAGCAAACACACTAGTAATACAACAGCTATTCATAAAGTGCAAGAACTAAACATAGATAAAGAGTAGTAAACAATATGAAGTTGCTAATTTCAGAATTAGATTATTGTTTACTTATAATAGTAATGATGAGTACTTTGTCCTCTATCATAGTGCCAAAGTAAACCACATGAGACAGCCGAATAAGTAAAAATTGATCATTTTATAACAGCAAGTACACAACTTGTTACAGCTTACTTATTTTATCAATTGCAGCAGCAAGCTTTTGTAGCTCATCTGGGCAAATATCTGGGCAATGCGTGAATCCAAAATATAGCATGGTCCATTTTCCCAAAAAATCCTTTTCAGTAACAGGTTTTCCATTATGATCAATGAGGTTAAATGGGCCACCAATGGCTGCTTTTCCAGCAGATGGACCTTGTTTCACAGCATTAGAAGCATTGTTGATTCCTGCAGTGAAATAAGGATATTATGTATGATTTGTGGATTCCCAAAAGTTGGTAAATTATATAAGATCCAATAACTCTAAACATGCCATAGAGAAGCAAGAAGTATGTGTGCCAGAACAAAAATAAGTAATGATGTGTGCACCACAAGCATGTACATGTCTGTGTAAGAAAATAATATATGGCAAATGGTTTATGGCTTCCGGCCTTTAGCTCAGGAGTGAACTAATGTGCTTGCTCTACTCAGCATGAGCTCCACTTTGATCAATAATAAAATGTATCTAGCACTAAAAATGAAGACTTGGAGTAGAAAAACTACAAAATGAAGTTGGGTTAAACTACATGTATTTATTTCATATCCCAAGGTCAGAATCCTATCTCTCAACCCTATATCCAAATATCCAATTTCAATCGTTCAGTTCAGGGGCATTCACATATGATGGGTATTGACAGGGGATCTGTGAACATAAATTTGAATATTTCTTCTACTTAATATTTACAAAAAGATGCATTGACAAGTAATTTGGCCAATGCTACAGCCTACAGTGATACATTTAGTGCCATCAATACCACAACTCACCATAGTAATCTACCTTCAATATGCCGCTTCTTTTCCCTGTCATAGTAGTAAACCAAACCTGCTCCAGTGCCCAGAAGCAGCAAGAAGCTCATCCATGAAACTGGCTGCATTGTCCATTGATGATCATTACATCAAACTATTTAAGCAAAAAGAAAATGAAACTTTATTTCTTTGGTTTTCACAAATCTTAATTAAAAGGAAATAACTTTCATTGACTAATCAAATGGTTTTAGAATCAAGAACAAATAATAGTTGCAAGCACCACATTTCTTAGAGAACAACTAAAGTTTAAGACTTGCTTATTTGCTCTACCACATACGGAGTAGAACATAACCAAAATATAACTTGTGAAACCCATTGATCTCAAATCTAAAATAAAGACTGGGTTATTCCCGTCTTTAGATGCACATGCTACACCTCCAAGTCCAAGGATTCCCTCTAAAATACCAGAGCAGAGAAATTGGTCATAAAGCGAGAAAGAGTGAGAAGAATTACGCTGCCTCTGACAGATTTTCCTTGCTCAGCAGTCTTCTGCGACCCACCAGAACCTTCTCCTTTCCCGGAACTATCCTCGGAGGATCCGCTATTTGATTGATTAGCTGAAGGAGCAGTACTGCACAGCATCCTAAGCCTGCAAAAATAGTGACCAGGCCCGGCTTCTGACTGACTCAAACGAACGTCCTGAAACTAATAAAAAACGAATTAATTGGAAAAAAGATCAATTATTAGAAGTATTCGTTTTGTAAGTATAAAAATAACGAGTTTCAAAAAGAGAACCGGAGGCGAAAGTGGAAGGAGAGTTTGGGGGCGGCGAGGAGCATCAGGAACACTATGAAAGAGACGAGAACGGTTGTTGGTTAAAATGCATTGGTTCAAAGCATTCGACGATGAAAAGGAGAAGCGACATAGATTGCGAATTCGCAAACAGCTTCTGGAAATTGCAGTGGTTTTCATGTTTGATCGAGATGAATGCAGAGCCAGTCCTGAGAATATGAATGCAATATTAAAAAAATGGACCTTTTTTCTAACACAAGTACAAATTCAATACAAGTAAAGATGATAATAGTGATAAATTACAAATAATTAATATCAAAATATAATATATTGATTAACAAAATAGTCAAAATAAGAGTATTAGTCTACAGAATGCACTTCATTTATAATCAGACATTCTTCCAGCGTATTTAAGGTGTATAAACTGTATACCCTAAAAACTAAATTTCTTTCAATAAAATGTATGTATGTATTATAGTGTAAACAATTGCAAAAGCAACAATCCAATAATATAATTATATCAATTTGTTAAAGAAAATTAACAACAGAATAACCAAATAATATGAATTTGATTGCTCGGTTAACTCAATCACAAATTATCCAGACTTAATAATTAATCACATGGCTAGGCTGGCCTCAATCATATAAGTAGTATTCACAGATAACTAATTAGTTCATTAACAAATGATCCAAATTAAAAATGCAAAAGAATATGAGATAAAACATTAATAAATTATCATTTTATTACTTATTAGTTGATGAGAAATGAAAGATTTACCTGGAGACTGGAGTAGTGGTCTAGAGGAGTCGCCGATTGGAGATTTGCAGAAGTGAAAAAATACAACTGAAGAAGACAAGAACTCAAGACGTGAAGAACTGGAGGCTGGAGCGGAGTTCGCGCACCGCCGTAGGATTCGCAGTTCGCCTCTCCCCTTGGCAGCTTCAATTCACGCCTTCAGCCCTCCTTCACTCTATTTTAATTTTGTTATTGGGCTAACTAATTGGGCAAACTAATACAGAGCACTAGACTACCGGTAATACTAATACTAATTTTTTGGGCCCTCAGACTTTTCGGGCCCTATGCGTTTGGGCTGCACACTCTCCCTTTGGGCCGGCCCTGGATGAACGTATGATGCTATTTGCAGCTTGCTTCTTAGTACTCCGTATTTCTGTTGCAGGACTTGATCAAAACCTAAAGTTTACACCTTATATAAATCCGCTTCTCCTATGTAAATCATGCAGACAATCCTTTTATGTTTTTAAAAAAAACATCAAAACCTCTTGTGTTTTGATAAATCATGTGCACATTTCCATATGCAGATAAAATGTAACAATTGTTTCTATTTTATGAATTTTCACTTATACCCCTTTTATTATAGTATAACCGTCGGCTATAACATGATTAGAACTTAGTCGAAATCCATGTTTTCAACTCATTCTCAAACCACATACGCTATTCAATTTGTGGGAAGGAAAAGACGTAGGCTTGCTTATTCCAATACTTGCAAGTATTTACAGGTGTGTTTATGCAATTTTCAATCTTATGGGTCTAACTACATATGTGTCATATTAATTTTGGGTACTGTTTCTACCGTCGCACACGAACACTAAAACATAATCATAAATCGTAATTACAGGCAAAGCATCATAAACTAACCACAAATACAACCCAAATCAGATAAGTGAACTAGAAACGGTACCCAAAATTAATATGACACGCACGCACGCACATATGCGCGCGCACACACATACACACACTTGGTGAATAATTTTTGTGATGCATTATACATTATCTACAAAACATCTTGTATTTAGATAACACGTTAGAATGTCTAAAGGCTTGTTCACATAGTTTTCACTTTAAGACAATCACCTATTTGAAGCTTCTTAAGTGTAATGTTTTTTAAATTAATTTGAATGCACTTCAAATTTTCTTTCATGCACTTCAAATTTTCTTCCCAGCAACTTGTCGTCTCCCTCATGGCATGCTCTTCTTGGATAGAAGTCATCCTCAATTCACTGATTAGTTGCACTAGTTCAGTACATTAATTGACAACACACTTGTGTATTGGAAATAAAATTGTGTAAACCATCACATTTCTGTTGTTGTAGCCCCGCTTATGTGAGTCGTTAATTTGGCTCAATTAACACTTTAGATCTTTTCTTTTTTTTTACACATTAAGGGGTATTTTTTATTAAGCTATCCCACACTGGTTGCGTATAGAAATACAAACCAACATATAAAGCTTTGGACTACTCCTCCCAATAGGTTGATCTTTTAGGATGGAACCTCGAGTCTTAATATGGTATCAAAGCAAATTATGCTCCAACAGGTAATTAGATCCTGGTAAGCCTCAACAACGAGCACATGAACTACAAGATTGGTCTGCTCCAATGAGCCACCATCTTGCGGGGGCGTATTAAGTTGTCCCACATCGGTTGTCATTTATGTCTCTGGTAAGTTTGTTAATGGTTACTTTTTTGTATTTTATCACCATTTAAATGCCATCTTCTCCATTTAGATGTTTGTCTGTGTTACTATTTACATAATATATTATAGTCTTATTTCCGGAGTTCCAGGTTAAGTTTGCTGAATGGCTGAACCATTTAAACCAAGTAAAGTTTCTGAATTTTCAATTTTATCTTTTTAAATATAGATTATTTAATATTAATCTTGTTAATTTCTTATGCATTGTTATCTTCTTGATTATTACTACTAAGCAATTAAGTTGCTTATTTTGTGTAAATAGTGAGACTCTCTCCTATGGAGTCATCCTCTTCGCCTTCCGGGGAGTTGTCTCCAACTCGGTATTTTTATTGAAGTTTTTTTACTTCATTAGACTAAAATAGTATTTCATTACAATTCTATTTGATTTTGCAGGGAAATTTTTTATGGAAACAGCTGAAATTTCATATTCTTATGAAACTAGAGTTTCTAACTCTGGTAAACTATTGGGGACGGGTACACCAATTCATATAGAACATAAAGTCTGTCTATCCCACACATTTTCACTATCAGTGTCGCATCCTAATATATTAGGATGCAAATCCTTATACTTAATAGCAATACAAAATGATCTGGATCGTTCACTTAAAATGATCTGCACCGTTAGATCTGGCCGAAATAGGAAAGCATATAGCGGCCACTAAATCTCCTGGCCACTAATTTAAGACTTTGTTGTTTACCTATGTTTTCCTAATTATAAACAACGAATACAAGCGAAATAGAGTGTGTATGTATGCAGGTTTAATTTTATACTCTCTTCGTCCCATTTAAAGATTCTCATCCACTATTCTCTGATCAATGTGCATTGTTCTTAACATTTTACTTTATATATCCAACTTTTATCAAATTTAAATTTTCTTGATTAGGCTTTGTAGCAGTTTTAATGTAGTTTCTGAATATGTAAATTTTATTTACTAAAAATAATTCTACTAATGACAGGGATCAGTTAACTTTGTGGTCAGTCAAACGTCGTAAACCGTGTGAGAACGTTTAAATGGGACGGAGGGAGTATATAAGTGATATAGATATCGAACTTTTATGTAGGCACTTCACTCCCGTGCAACGCACGGGTAGAGTAACTAGTTCTTTCATAATGAAAAACTCATTTATGAAATTTATGACAAGAAACTTATTGATTTTCTAAAAGAAAAGGCTATCCCGCCATCTTTCAAATATTCCATTCCTTCTTCAAATAGCACAAGTCCACTAGTGTTTCATTGTGTTATTATTCTTTATAGAACAGTTATAAGGTCTACGATAAAGGCAGTTTTACACATCCATAGTTTGAATAGAGGGAGAAATGGGTTAAATTTAGATAAATTTGTCCTTAGAAACGGGGTTATTAAGCTATACAATGTTAGCTATGCTTATGATACGAGTGAGGGTAGAGTAAAAGACCTTTTTGTAGTGCATAATATCATTTCATATTGGTTTGTGTCGGGTGTGCACCAAATTGCTCCATATTTGGCGCATTTTAAGAAGTGTCTTTTGGACTATAACGATGTTGTTGTGCAAAGAAGTATATTTAGTAAAAGCTATTTGAAAACTCATTCTGTTTTTTTTTCTTTTGTTTAATTCCAGTTTTTCTTTCATTTTTCTCTTATTAATGAAGTTTCTTATGTTTTAAGGCACTTTTCAACTTCATGGGCAATCATACTGCGTTGTTGACAAGAGCAGAGAGATTCCAATCTTTGAGAGAATGTCACAAGACAATGGTTGAGCCTGATCGCAAATTATGGTTGCATTGTTTGGCTCATAACATAGGGTGGAAAAAGTTTGTAACTAAAGATTGTGATTCGATGTACACAGTCTTGGTATTTGTCAAAAAGGAGGAGCGCATGTCGCCATACGTAGATTATCCAGATGCGTCATTCCTTACTAACTCTAGTATAGTTCGTTTTTTACGTAACTTAGTAACACAACTATGTGAGTACAGGAGGGTAGAGTTATTAAATATTGATAAGGTTTATTTAGAATTGTTTCTAGTTAAATTAGGTATATTAATGTTTTTTGTGTTGTTTGCAGGAACTATATGCATTACCACATGCATTACCATTTTCCCAAGTACAAGTTGTTCATGTTATTAAGGAGATAGACCACATGCATATCGAGTGTCTTATCTTCTCCAAGTTTTCAGAGTTCATTGTTCAAATGCACTACCAGTTATATAAGAGAGGAATCCTACCAACATTTTTAGATGTTTCTGCTTCTATGGAAGGATAGGAGCTCTTTTACTAATCTTTCTACATAATTGCACTACATTTACTTTCCCGATCAAATGTCACAAACCTTTCAACCGGAAGAAGTCATCCTGAATTCACCGATTTGTTTCACTAGTTCAGTCTTCTACTAAACGTCACTGAACAGAGGACCTGCCCAACGGCCCTTCAGAACCCCTTTACCAATGGTAATGCACCAGAAAGAGAGTTTTGAAAAGTCAAATTTGATAGTTTACTAAATGAAGACATGATTGGAGTGTTAATTGGAAAATACATTTTTACTAGCCTGATCCAATCATTCTGCATAAGGAAATTGCCTTATGTTATAACTATCATACCCTTGCAGTACATTAATTGGCAACACACTTGTGTATTGAAAATATAATTGTGCAAACCATCACATTTCTGCTGTTGTAGTCCTGCGTATGTGAGTCGTTAATTAGGCTCAATTAACACTTCGGATCTTTTCTTTTTTACACATTAAGGGGTATTTTTTATTAAGTTGTCCCACACCAGTTGCGTATAGAAATACAAAGCAACATATAAAGCTTTGGGTTCCTCCTCCTAATAGGTTGACCTTTTAGGATGGAACCTCAAGTCTTACTATGGTATCAGAGCAAATTAAGTTACAACGAGTAATTAAGGGATATTTTTATTAAGTTGTCCCGGACCAATTGCGTATAGAAATACAAACCAACATATAAAGCTTTGGGCTCCTCATCCTAATAGGTTGACCTTTTAGGATAGGACCTCAAGTCTTACTATGGTATCAGAGCAAATTAAGTTACAACGAGAAATTAGATACTGGTAAGCCTCAACAACGAGCACACGGATTTCAAGATTGGTATGCTCCAATGAGCCACCATCTTGCGGGGGCATATTAAGCTATCTCACACTGGTTGCCATTTCTGTCTCCAGAAAGTTTGTTAATGGTTACCTTTTTTGGTTTTATCTCCATTTATATGCCATCTTCTCCATTTAGCTGTTTGTCTATGTTACTGTTATCAGAATAAATGCATTCTTATTTCCGGAGTTCTAGATTAAGTTTGCTGAATGGTTGAACCATCTAAACCAAGTAAAGTTTCTGAATTTTCCATTTTATCTTTTTAAATATAGATTACTTAATATTAATCTTGTTAATTTATTATGCATTGTTATCTTCTTGATTATTACTACTTAGTGATTGAGTTGCTTATTTTTTAATAAACGGTGAGACTCTCTCCTATGGAGTCATCATCTTCGCCTTCCGGGGAGTTGTCTCCAACTCGGTGTCTTTATT